GTGCCTGGCAAAGAGCAGACATTCTATGGCTGTCATTATTATTATTATTACTGATGTCGTTGTTGTCCTCCACCCACCACTGCTTTCAGACCAAGAACCCCAGAGGATGGAGGGTTCTCGGTGGCAGCCACTGGGGACTGTGCCCATGGCTGCAGCTCACTGAGTAGCCCTCGTGGACCCAGAAGATTCTGCTCTCGACAACCCCCAACCCCCACGACAGCCCCCCAGGCCTGCCCTGCACTGCCACAAGATTTCTAGGAGCACCATCGACTTGGCCTTCTGCCTCCACCAGGCGCCAGCTTTGGAGCCTCCAGTGGGAACATTCTCTTCTCCCAGCATCTACTTGGCTTTGGCCACAGTTTCCTTCAAGGTCCTGATTGCCAGCAGGCCCGAACTCCTCGAGGGCCTGGGGCCCAACCTCACCATGGTGCCCAAGACCGAGGTCCAGGAGGCATAGGCTTCACTCATGGGGTCCTCGGTTGCCCCTGACCATGGGCTAGTGCTGGTTCAGAGGCCTGGGCTCCAGAGACATCCAGGACCCCCAGGAGGCCCAGAAATACATTGAGAGGAATATAAAGAAGCAATGTGGGGTTGGAGGGGAAGCTCCAGGCCTCGATGAAGGACCTCAGGGATGAAACTGCAGCAATTCTGGGGAATCGCATACTCCTCAGAGGTGAGGCGGGGGCAGGTGTGCAATTGGAATCTCCTGCAAAATCCAGGTCTCCATGACCCCCACCCCCTACATATCAGTGTCTGGTGAGTCCCTCCTGCCGACTCAAATATAGGAGACACTTAGTAAGTGTCTGTACACTAAATCTTTGATGCTTCTGCTTGATTACCTTCAGGGATGGGGAACTCATCACTTCTCCCATTTTAAAGCAACTTGTTAAGTGTATCTTTGGAGAGGACTTTTCAAACATCAGTGTGTGTAAGAACTCTCAGGGAAACATGTTAAACGTGGAGGTATTTCATGCTATCCCAAGAGATTGTTTGTTTTGTCTTGTTTTACCAAGCAATTTCGATTCAGTGGGCAGGTAGGTATGGAACTCAAGACTCTGCACTTGAAGAAGCTCTGCTTCCTCCCCCCACAGTGATTCTGCTGCAGGTGGTCCTTGCCCTTCACTCTGAGAAGCTGTAAGCCACTGGCTTTCCTTCCTCTGGCAGGCCTGGGGCATGGGTCAGAGCAAGGCGAGTCTGAGACACGGAGATATGTAGTTTCCCCAAAGAGCCAGCAAGGCTGTGTGTCCCGACCACCATCAATGCTTTCTCAACATTACTGACTCAGTGACTCACACAGTGGCTGTGAGTGGCTTTGGCACTCTGTGACTCCCGTTCAGGCTCGGAGCATGGAATAAGGCCTCACACTGACCAGTGCTTTGGGGTCTCCAGGTGCATTCACCCAGGCTTCAGATGACCCTCTCACCTGGAGGAAGCAGGGAAGGTTGAGATCAGCGTGCCCATTTTACAGCAAAATGGGAAAACAGACTTTTCAAAAGGGAGGAAAATGATTTCCTGAGGCAGCAAAGCATTACTTCAATACATGCCTGTGAATATTTGTGGTATGTTACATATGTGTTTACACACACACACACACACACACATGTATTCTAAGTAAGGAGTCCCTGTTAGCCAGCCAGCCTTGTGCATGTTTCATATTTGTTTAATTCTTATCACTACTCAACAAGGTAGACATTATGATGTCCACCGGACAGATGAGAAAACTGAGGCACAAGGTAAGGAAACTGCCCTGAGTCTGAAAGCCTACCGGAGACCAGCCTTCAAATCCACATCTGCCTTTAGAGACATTTGGATTGCAACGATACCTTTTATTTCTTAAAGAGCAACCATCTCTCCAATGGATTCCTGTCTCAGCCTCGTGGGCTCAGCCCTTTGACCTGTGTGCCTCTGGCCCAAAGAGATTCTCTGTGGATGAGCACAGGGCCATGTGGGTCCCTTTGATAAGACAGAAGGCCCACCATCGTTTCTTCCACGACCTCAAGCTGCCATGCTTGGTGCTGCAGATTGACCACGCAACCAATGCCACCACCTCTTTCATCTTCCCCAAGTGGGGCTACAGCTGGAAGACACCCTACAGCCTAAAGCCTTCATCAAGTGGGACTGTCTGCTCCAGACACAAGGCCCAGTGGAGTGATGGTTTCCAAGGATGATCCCACCTCTTCCCTCAACCATCCTACAGTCTCAACCCCTAGGATACTGTGCCACCCAGGGGACTAGCACCCCCAGAGCACTGCCATCTCCCAAGGAACTGTCACCCTCCTAGGACTGTCATTCTCCCAGACACTGTCCTTGCCTCCCTGAGATGTCAGGGTGGCCTGGGAGTCTGGAGGTTGATTCTGGTCCCAGCTCTGCTGCATGCGTGGTGACACCTTGGGCCAGTCCCAACCCCTCTCCAGGACACAGTTGCAGCTATAGAGGAAGCTTATAGTTACAGCAGCATATGAAGGGCATGGGGAGGACCTGCGGCTCCCATTTCATGAAAGCAGATGACAGAACAATGCACCCAGGAATCCAAAGAGGGCACAGCATGCCTTCTCTGGGGTTCAGGTGACTCTTCCTAGCACGTGTCATAGTTCAGCTGCGCCACGAGTAAAGAAAAGAAGATGAGTGGCAAAGAGGACATTCTGGGGCCAGGGGTCTGCTTGCAGTGCAGAAGCCCAGAGGAGCAACAGCACCTCCGCCTGTTGAGGAGAACACAGGGAGCTGAGCTGTTTCAGGAACAAAGTGGGAGGAATTGGGAAGCCAGGAAGGGAGGTACTCAGGGGAAGACAGAAAAGGCAGACAGGGGTTGAAGCTTCCAGGGCCTTGGTGGGTAAGGGCTGGACCCAGAGGGCAGAAGGGAACCTGACAGACTTTAAATGGGATGGTGTGCCTTCTGGCTGCCCCTTGGAGAACTGGCTGGTCGGGATGCAGTGGGCAGAGATTGAGCAGATGGAAACGCCTGGGAAGGCTGAGCAAGGGCTGGTGAGAGCCAGAGGCTTAGGCCTGAGGCGTGACCAGGCGACAGGGCACAGGCCCTTTCGGGATCCCGGCCTCACAAGTTACCAACAGCAAATTCATTTCTGTCTGTCCGCAGGGAACTCGATTTCCATTCCCCCAAATTTTCCATTGCCGGCACCTACCAAATGGAAGCACTGTTTCACGAGTCAAGTGTGGGCAGTGTCCCCAGCAGCTGCCGCTGAACATCTGTAAGTTCAGCTGGGGATGGAGGTCGAGGGCTCTCAATGCCTTTGGCAACCACCGGGAGATGTCCAGCACCTCTTTAATGATGGGGAGCCCCTGTTTCCTGTAAGCTTGCAATTGCTACCTGCTTCTCTGCATTTCTCCCCCATCAGCAAGCATTTACAAGATCCTAGGGAGCCCACGAGAATAAGTCAGCATTTCTGCCCTCAGGGTGACAAGGAAGGAAAGTGTGGAATGATAGAAATACAGCGCATGCCACAGTCAGGGCCCCACAGAGAAGCAGGATCAAGCAGGTTTTGGAAGTGCTGAGGATGCGTCCTGGGGTAGGCCGTTCCTCATCTGGGGCCAGAAGGACAAGTCATGGAAAGGAGAGGCTGAGAGGAACTTTGGGCCTGCTGTGTGTGCAGGGGGGAGGGGGCAGGAGCCTCAGGAACTGCAAGACTGCCAACTGGGTGAAGCTGGCCCTGTCCATCTCGGAAGATCCTGTCAGCTGCTCCAATGACCTGGGACTCTTTCCTGAGAGCAAACGGGAAGTTGCTAAGGCATGGAAAAGTACCTAATCATATTAATGCCCTAGAAAGTTCTAGTAAGATCTGTGGAGGGCAGAGTGCGGTGAAGACAGGTAGGACCCACCCATAGGTACAGAGAACGGAGGGAAATGCCCAGAGTTGTGCCCTCTGGGGCAGGAGAGTCACAGAGTAGAAATGGCAGGTGGAGAAGCTAAGGGGGAGAAGAAGCTAGCTCAGGCCTCACAGGCAACGGAGGTGTCCAGTCTCCCTGCTCATGCTCACTGGACGTTCACTGAGCACAGCTCTAGCCAGAGGCCAGCACTTTCCCGTATGCTGTATCCTTAAACCCAGGCAGTGAGGTGATGAGGTAAGTGTTGTTGTCCCCATTTAATAGATAAGAAAACTGAGACTTGGAGAAGTTAAGACGTTTCCCCAGGTCACCATTGCCAGCTAGCATAAGGTAGGATTTGTACCTCGCTCAAATCCTTTGACATCAAAGATCCAACCACATTCTTCATTTTGAACAGCACTGGGGGACATCTCTGTTGTCTCCACTTCACACACATCCCAGAAGGGACAGCGGGGGTGAGGAAAGGAATGTGGGCTTTGAGGTCATGCAGACCTGGGTCTCACTGAGCCTCTGTTTCCTCAGCTGGTAACTGGGGACTTTAGACCCCACCTGAGTGGGGATGCAACTTGCCCAAGGTCACATCATCCTGGTGGGGGTAGAACTAGAGTCCTTGACTTCAGGTATGATGGTTGTCCAGAGATGCCACTGATGGTAAAAGTGAGGGGAAGAAAGAGTGAGGGCTTACCATCTCCCAGGCATAGATTAAGTGCAGAGACAGCCAGTGAATGGAATGCATTATAATCTATTGAGCAGGATGGGAGGGGACAGGCAATGACAAATAGATATGGCATATGTTAGGTGACAATAAGTACCCCAAAGAAAAACACAACAGGATAAGGGGGACAGTAGGACTGGCTCTAGGAACAGTAGCTAAGGAAGTCTCTAAGAAGTCCTACCAAGGGAACATAATGTAAAGGCCTCCGTGATCTAGTGCTAACCTCCCTCCAGGCTAAGCCTCCTACTGCCCTACATATATTCTCACCACTGTATAAATCCATGAATGGGTGAGTGATGAAATGAATGAGAATGAATTAGCAAAGTGAAATGAATGAAATAATAAACAAATGTCATTAGGCAAAAGTGTTCTTGGATGGATGGATGGATGGGTGGGTGGAAAATGATGGTTGGGTGAGTAAGTAGATACTGAGGTGATTCTTAACTATTTTTAAGCACCAGCCATTAAACAAAACAAAACAAAAGAACTTAAGTAGATGGGTAGGTGGTGGATGGATGAATGTGGTAGGTGAGTTGTGAATAGATGGAATCATGAATAGGAAGATGGATGGCTGGGTGGTTTCATGGAGAGTGGAAGGATGGATGCATGGATGCATGGATGGACAGACGGTTGGATGGGTGGATGGATGATGGATGGATGGATGCCTGGATGCCTGGATGCCTGGATGGACATATGGTTGGATGGATGGACAGACGGATGGATGGATGGGTAAGTGAATCGGTGTACAGATGGGTGTATGAATATGTGAGTAGTGGGTGGATGGATGGATGGATGATTGACAGGGTGAGTGGATGGATAATGGTAGTTGTATTTATGGATGAATGTAGACAAAAGAGAGATAGGTAGATAGATAGACTTAAGAGTGGATGGATAACAACACGACTTTCTGTATCTTCACTCAGGTTTATAACTTTCTCAGCAATGACATTTAGTTTGACCTCCAATTGTACTGTATTGAACTATCCCCATTGATATTATTGGCAAATATATTTTGGAGACTTTCATCCTTTGGCTGCTTTAAATCTATGTTCACTGTTCAGTAATTGTCCCACAAGAAGCATTTTTTCCTATAAAAATAATCAATACAAAAAACCCAAACCCACTGCCATCAAGTCAATTCTGACCTATAGTGACCCCATTGGATTTCCAAGGGGGTAAATCTTTTTGGAAGTAGATTGTCCCATCTTCCTTCCATGGAGTGGCTGGTGGGTTTGAACCACCAACCTTCTGGGTAGCAGTCAAATGCCTTAGGCACTACACCACCAGAGCTCCTTAAAAATAGTCAATAGTTAAGTGAGAGAGGGAATAGCTGGATAGATGAGTCATCTATTTGAAGATGGATGGGAGGAGGGGTGACTGCATAGATAGATGAATGGATGGGTACCTATGGGGTTAAGTAAGGGGATAGGAAACAAACCATATAAAAATCAATGTTCTGCTGGCTGGCCCAGTGGGGCAGATTGATGACTTCAGAGTGTTCCTTGCAGGTCACTCACAGGGCAGTGATGACTGCGGCGGAGCAGGGCATGGAGGCTGCTGCTGCCCCTGGCATCTGGCTCACTCCCAAGCCTCACTCAGACCTTAGCCCCCCCACTACCTGCAGACCCTGAGTTCAATAGACCCTTCCTGGTGATGACTTTCTACACAGCAACAGGAAGCATGCTCTTTCTGGGGAGGATTGTAAACCCACTGGGCTAAGGGTCCATCAGACGAGTGGATGGCTGTGAGAGAATGGAGTAGGAGACACTGATTGGGAGACAGTTTTCCTGAGTTGTAGCCAAGTCTCCATGTGGCTCTGGTGACATCATCGAATTGTCGGGGATTCAGTACCTTCTTCTGGGAATGAACTAGGAATTCTGAAGCAGTGATGAAGGTGAGTACCCTAGTTGTTACTGAATCAAGTTTAATGAGCAATTACATCTGCCCTGGTTCTTTGGCTTGGTTGTCATGGGAACCTCTAGGGCTGAGGCAGTAGGGGGAGCAGAGCTGAATACCTACCAGTGAGGGAACACCTTCTGTGTACCAGTTTCTGTGCCAGGGGCTTTGCATATCTTATTTTAAAATAGTCTTACAAGATAGGTATTAGGTTGAACCATATGAAATTACTTCTATTGGGCCATATTTTACCTACAGGGAAAAAAAAATAGGACAGCTTCATATAGTGCAACCTAATATTTTTTCCCCTTTTTATAGCTGAGGCTCAGAGAGATTAAGAAACATGCCCAAGGCCACTCACCTAGTAACTGGCCTCTCTTGGGTTCAGGTGTGTCATACCCTAAAGCTTGTGTTCATTTTGCTAAATCAGTGGATCTCAAACTTTCTTCTATACAGGTCTTGATAAAAAGCAAATTCTCGTTCAGAAGGTCTAGGAAAGGGCCTGGGATCCTGCATTTCTCACAAGCCCTCCCCGCAGTGATGCTGATGCTGCTGGTCAGTGACACCACACTTTGAGCTGCTGTTGTTGTTGTTAGCTGCTGTCAAGTCACCCCCAACTCGTGGAGATCCCAAGTGTTTCAGTGTAGGACTGTTCCGTGGGCTTTTCAGTTAAACACTAAACTACTAGCCAAAAAGTTGGC